GGAGCCTACACAAAGGAGGAGTGTGGGAGATGTGGTAAGCCACAACATTCTGATGAAAAACGTTGCCCTGCATTAAAAAGTAAGTGCAATAAATGTCACAAGAATGGACACTGGTAACGTAAATGTCAGTCTAAAGCAGTCAGGGAAGTCACAAGTGAACAGCCTGAACAAACATATTTCCTTGGCGCTGTTGATCGTAAGAATGAAGAAAATAAATGGACTGTGAGCTTAACCATAAACAATGTGGTAGTAGCCTTCAAAATAGACACAGGAGCTGATGCTACCATTATCGATCAAGGGACATTCAAAAAGATGAGTCCTAAAATACAGTTAGGGTCTCCAGACACACGCTTTGTAAGCCCAGGAGGTGACCTCAAATGTGCAGGCGTGTTCTAAGGCACCACCAGCTACAGAGAAAAAATGTTTTCTTTCAAAGTGTATGTGATGGAGGGAACAAGCTGCTTATTAGGCCGTGAGGAAGCAGAGAAAATGGGCCTAGTTAAGAGGATGGATGAGGTCAGCGGTGTGTTTGGGTCGGGTGGGCTATTGAAAACTGAGCCAGTCAGAATAGCCCTGCATGATGATGCCCAGCCGTATGCAGTGCCAACAGCCAGACGAATACCCCTGCCACTGGTACCGCTGGTGATGCGGGAACTACAGCGCATGGAGGATGAGGACATTATTGAAAAGGTGACGCAGCCGACCGAATGGTGCGCCGCTATGGTGCTGGTGCTTAAGCCAAACAAGAAAGAGGTCCGGCTATGCGCAGACCTCAGGAAATTAAATAAAGCAGTGAAGCGAGAGAAGTACGTCCTACCTACAGTGGAGGAGATAATGCCCAGGCTCGCTGGTTCAAAAGTGTTCACGTCATTGGATGCAGCAAGTGGATTTTATCAAATTCCTCTGCATGAAGAGAGCAGGATGCTCACTACGTTTATCACTCCGTTTGGGAGATATGCCTTCCGCCGTCTCCCATTCGGAATAACATCAGCGCCAGAAATTTTTCAGAGGAAAATGGCGGAGACTTTGGCCGGCCTGGAAGGAACAGAGATCTTCATGAACGACATCTTGGTCCATGCTGAGACTGAGGAGCTGCACGACCAATGCTTGGATGAAGTGTTGAAGGTCATCAAGGCGGCGGGGCTCAAGCTCAATGAAGCAAAATGCTAATTCAAACAGCGACAGGTTCGTTTCCTGGGTCACGTAATCGACGAGACAGGGGTCAGGGTCGACCCAAGCAAGGTGACGGGAATAGAGAACTTCCCACAACCACAAAATGTGACAGAACTCAAGCGATTCCTAGGCATGGTGAATTATTTAGCCAAGTTCATCCCTGAGCTATCAACAGTGGCCCATCCACTCTACGAGCTACTGAGGGGAGATACAGAGTGGACGTGGGGTCCTGCACAGTGTGAAGCTTTCAGAAATCTAAAGACTGCATTAGCCACAGCCCCGGTACTTATCTTCTATGATGCCAACAAGCCCACCATCGTGTCAGCAGACGCCAGCAGCTACGGGCTGGGGGGTGTCCTACTCCAGCAGCATGGAGAGAGCTGGAAACCCGTGGCCTACTGCTCCAGATGATTGAGCGACGCAGAGAAACGGTACGCGCAGATTGAGAAGGAGTGCCTTGCCAGCGTTTGGGCCTGTGAGCGCTTCGACAAGTACCTGTATGGACTGGACAGTTTTAGACTGGTGACCCGATCACAAACCACTGGTACCCCTCATGAACAGCAAGGATCTGGACTGTGTCCCAATCAGGTGCCAGAGGCTGCTGATGAGACTGATGCGGTTCAGCGCCACCGCAGAGCATGCACCTGGTAAGACATTAGCAGTAGCAGATGCACTGTCTAGGGGCCCAGAGCAATGTCAGGGGGATGGGGTTTGTCATGAGGAGGTCACAGCACACATTGAGGCTGTTATGGACCAGGTCCCAGCCACACCACACCGCATGGCAGAGCTAAGACAGCACACTGCAAATGATAGGCAGCTCCAGACAGTCATAGGTTTCATTAGGAGTGGGTGGCCTGATTTTGAAAGTAAGGTGCCGGAGGCAGTTAAAGACTTCTACAAAGTGAGAGGAGAGCTATCAGAGGTAGAAGGGTTAGTCACTAGAGGCCAACGCATCGTCATTCCCACTGAAATGAGAGAAGTCATACTAAAAAGAATTCATGATGGTCACCAAGGCCTAGTGAAGTGCAGGGGAAGAGCTTACCAATCAGTATGGTGGCCTGGAATAGCTGAGGAGATAACTAGAACAGTACAGTAGTGTACATTCTGTAGAGAGAACAAAAACACTCAGAGAAAGGAGCCATTAATGCCCAGTGAGCTCCCATCCAGGCCATGGCAGAAAATTGCTATAGATCTGTGCGAGTACAAGAAGCACAACTACTTAGTAGTGTCAGATTATTACTCCAGATATCTAGACATTTTGAATCTGCCTACGACTACTACCAACCAGGTTGTAGCTAAGCTGAAAGCCACATTTGCGCGTTTCGGTATCCCCGAAGTGATAGTGAGTGATAATGGGCCCCAGCTAGCTTCAACAGAGATGAGGTAGTTTAGTGAGGACTACGATTTTGTACATATCACATCCAGCCCTCACTACCCCCAGAGTAACGGGCAGGTAGAGAGGGCAGTTCAGATAGCAAAATCTATATTGAGACAGAAAGACCCCCTCCTGGCCCTAATGACATACAGAGCCACACCCACCTCATCGACAGGAATCAGTCCAGCAGAACTGTTGATGGGCAGGAAAATTAGGACCACCTTGCCCATCTTGCAGGGCAATCTGAGACCTAACTGGCCGAACGAGGATGGGATCAGGCAGGCTGACACTGCAGCACAGGGTGAGCGCTACAGGAGGAACAGACGCCACCTGCAGTCTACGCCTGTCAGTGAAAGTTCTGACCAGGTGACTCCAGAGGTCACGGATACTGACACTGGGGACACACAGGGTGCGGGGACACAATACACTCCCACACGACCACAAGGGACTGAGATCGTCACTCGTTCTGGCAGAGTGAGCAAGCCTCCAGTCAAACTGAACTGGTGAACAGGGACTGTGGGGCTGTTTTGGGGGAAAACTCAGGGTCAAGAGACTTTGCAGTATGGACATTGGGGGGAGAGAAACAAGGGGGAAATGTTTGAGAAATGAATGTTTTGTTTGATTAATGAATGATTTTGGTTGCAGAAAATCCACTTTCATTATTTCTGATTTACATTAACAGAAAATGCACTTGTTCAGGATAGACAAGACAGTAGGAATGTTATGTTTTGTGACAGTATGAATAGAGATGGTAATTCTTATTAGACAACATCAAGGTCTGATGGTTGTATACAGTCACGGTTCAATAAGAAATATTGTTAACATACAGAAGTGTTAAATGTTTACTAGACACTAAGAGTTCATGTGAAATGATAAGGGCAACATCTTTAAGGGGGGAGATGCAATGACAGGTAGTGACCACTGGAGGTCAGTGTCATAGCCTAGGGCATTGTTCTGTGCCAAGTAGAAGAATAAGGGATACACATTATTGCATTGCGTTGTTCTGTGTGGCAGTCAGCGAATAAACCGAACACTGAGAACTCACGTGTAGTCGTGTCCAAATATATATGCCTGTTAGTAGGTAGCTACAGACATTACACCATACATCCCCATGCCCACAAAACAGCCTGTTCTTCAGAGTGGAGAAAATGAGCAGCAGACACATACAGTATAACCATACACAGAAGCTGGATTTAGGAGTTTTAATATATAAACTTCACTTACTTCTTGTAAAGACCTAAGGGAACAGTTTAAAAAAAAACCAAGAAAGTATAATACCTCTCATTTAAAAGATAGATAAGACAGGTCCCAATATCATCTGCATACTTAATAAAGTGCCTGTTAGGAAGAGCGCTAGCGCTAGAGTTGGTGTATAAAATAAACAATAAAGATGATAAAACACATCCCTGGGGGGAACCTGTGCAGGTTGTCGCTTTGTCAGAGAGTGAAGAACCTACTCTGACCTGCTGGACTCTACAGCTCTAATGCTGAGTTGAATAGTGTTAAAAGTGGAAGAAAAGCCCACAAATAAAATCTTAGCATGAGTTTTTGGTTTTTCAAGATGAGTATGCAATAAATGCAATAGAGTAAGGATTTGCATCGTCTACCCCTCTACAGGCTTGATATGCAAATTGCAAGGTGCTGTGTTTGTGTTACAATGTACCTCTTCACTAGACGCTCAAGGCACTTCATGACCAGCGATGTTAGTGCTATTGGACGAAAGTCATTGGGCCCTTTGGGTCTGGTAATTTTTGTCACAGGTACAAAAACAGGTACAATTGTAAAAATGTCAGTAAACAATGGTGCTAACTGCATAGCACAGTGCTTTAGAACACACACAAATATTGTCAGGGCTTCTTCATCGGTTACTGCCTCCAAAAAGGTGAAGGACTTCTGATTCCTTGATAGTAAAGTTGGGTGTAAGGGGGAGAAAGGGAAGTATCACAGTGTGTCATATCTGGGACTTCTGTAATACCTATGTTGGCCACTTGATGGCCTTAGTGGCAAGGTTTTTTTGCTTCTGGTCACATGCTCTGCTGCTGTAATTAGTAGTTCCACCTGCTCCCCATTACTGGCCCTATAAAAACCACCACGCTTCCGTTCAGTCCTTGCTTAGTCTTGAGTTTGTCTCCGTGCTTCTCAGTTCAGCCTTTTGTCTCCCGAGCTACCTTTTGGATTACCTGTGCCTTTTTGAACTCTGCCTGTGACCCCGGATTCTAGTGTTATCACGAACTTTGAGTCCTGTGGATGCCTTTGTTTGAGGATTGCCTGGGCTGACTAGTTTTCCCAGCTTTTATGTTTTTTTTTGCCTTTTTGCCTTTGGGCCACTTGAACTGTTTTGTTTTGATCATCCACCTTCTGCCTGTACTTTTTTTTGTTGTGAATTGCTCAAGTAAAGAAAACCTTTTTTCATCCAAGTTTTGTCTCTGCAATTGAGTCTTGTACCACCACCTAGCTCAGAGGGTAAGCCTCTGGGCTGCAACTCCAGGGACCGGGGTTCGATTCCCGGCCAGACCTGACACAGTGGCAGTGGCTCTGTTGCCATTCTCAAAGCGACAGAAGTAGGTGTTAAGCTGTTTGCCATCAAACATCATCTCCAGTCCCTCACTACCATTCATGACAAGGGTAGGTTTTCCCCTGCCCTACTGTGCCTCTCTGGGATTGGCAGAAGCCAGAGAGGCCTCTAACTTTTGTTTGTAGCTGTACTTGTCCAGCTGTATTTGTCTTTTTATGTGTCTCTTTGTGTCCCTTCTAGCTGTTTCATTCTGGATTCTGTAAGCTTTTTTGCTTACAGGTATCACAAAGTCTACACAGAAATGAATATAGCCAGACACTGCTATAACCTGATCATTAATATCAGGGCTATTACATGTGCAGTCGAAACATCCCTGCAAAGCCATTATGCTATCATTGTTCCACACTTTGACAGCCCTTATTTGAGGCTTCTCCCGCTCTAGTAGCCTCTGATAGACAGGGCGGAGATAGACCCCAGACGCACCAAGTGGTGGGAGCAGGGATGCTGTGTAAATGTTGTAGTGTATTTTCTGTTATACATTTACAGGTTGTTCTCCTTATTTCCTTTATTCATCATATTCACTCATCCTATACAGTACATAAAGAATGTTTCTGTTTTAGGAGAAGAACACAGATGTGTTCTTCCACAACATATGGAGACATACAGATAACCCTAAGTGCCAACAGTGTACCATGAAGCTCTTTCCCATGGCCTTGGAAAGGCTTGCATATGTGATTGTGATTGATCATAAATCCAAAACGTTATCTGCTAAATGGGAGTATAGTTTCGGTCTTCAGAAGCGAGCCAATTATGGCATAGCTGACTATGTAAGAAGGGTGTGTATTCGAGAGGGCAGTTCAGATTCGGACCCCATTGGGCTGGTTCGAGAGGTTTCGGACAATTCAATGCATTGAATTAGCCTGGTCACCAGCCTCTCGTACTACATTTCATTTGTACAGACAGTCTGGCCACTCACCATTGACAATTGTTAACTAACTGAAGGCGGGTGCTCTGTTGAAGTTTAAAACTATTGGCTCTGCCCAGTGCCACTCCGAATCTGCCATAACCAATCGCTAACGTTTGGTCGTGACGTATTTCATGCGCCAGAAACCACGTTGCGCGCAGTATACAAACGGCAGATGCAGTGAGCATTAGCATTAGCCTCCGCCCGCCTCCGTACTTACGCTCAATAACTGAAATTCGCGCACGACCTCTACGTCACTGTTCTCAGGCCGCGCCTCCTGTTCGCTGATTGGACCGGTAAAACTTTACCGGGAGAAAACCCGCGAATATGCCGAATACCCAGACCTAGTACTGAAGGGAAATGAAAATTGAGCGGAAGTACGTCGGAGGGCGGAGCCTGTGGGGTTGTGTTCCGAGGGAAGGAGGCCGCCGACAACAGGATCGCTTTTAACTCACTTTATTTGTTTAGGTTTAGTTATCTTAATCTACCAAGCATGTGGGGAAAGTAAATGTAAATGCCACGCGCGTGGAGAGCCCCCAGCTTTGCATCCTTGCGGATGGGCCGCCTGAGACTTCTGATCCTAACCGGATGTTTCCGCCGGATGCCTCTGGGCAGGAGGCGTGGCCTCCATGACGCACAATGGCTAGCGTTAAGCGCCGCCCCCAGTATATTGTTTGCCGCCATCATGTGTTTAGGTGCAGTTACTACAACTTGTATATTTATTTCTACTCCTGGCTATGTGCAGATATTTACAGCCTGATGATACATGTTATTAATTCGCAACAGTCCCTCCTTGGTCATCACTGATGACCATACTATAAATTAATAATGCTATGTATCATGTAAGGTCTAAAAATGGTGAGTATAAATTCAAGCGAAAAGAAAAACATCAACATCACCAATCGACTTAGTTCGGGAAAACCTCTTCTAGACAGTAGGAAAACCTGTCGCATCTCTAAATTGGATGGCATTCACCTTGGTGTGTCTCAAAGAATACATGGGCCGTAGCCAACAGTAGACAAATTATCATCACATCATACAATCAATGTCATACCATCATCACAGTATCCTGAGGACAGAAAGGCATAGTAGTTAATGCATTGTAATTTCCCCATATGAAATCCCTTCAAATACTTATATGTATGTATAACCAAAATCGAATACCTCCAGGTATAAGAACAGACATTATCGTGTTAGTTAGCGGCTCTGGCTAACACAGAAGAGACATTAGCGTGTTAGTTAGCAGTAACCCTATATAGATCTAAAAAAACGCCCTGTAGACTAGCATGCAATTGCTCAGATGGTTTCCATGCCACAGGTTACTCAAAGATCATCACAGTGTTATCCTCCGTATCCGTAGCCAACCTCAGGTCAGACAGTTCATGAATTCAATGCCCATCTTGTGTTCCATAGGCAAGGCCCACACGCCAAGGTTACCAACACGTACCCATGTGTGCCTTCCCCACGGATCCACTCCTCACCAGTAGTCAGAACATTTTAGCAGCGTCAAAAGATTCATCCGTTTCATTATTAAAGCAATCATGGGACTACAGCATAACACATTCCGAACTTATAATGCATTGTATCGGCAACCGTGAAGCATACTGTGTATTTAATAATTCAACATTCAAGTATAACAGGTGCCATGTCCTCCTAGACACAGGTGCCGAACTCCAGGATATCAGGTACCACAGCCTGATCAAGTCGGGGCGCTCCACTGTCCCCTGCACATTCTCGGGTACACCTGGTCACCTTTCTCCACCCTGGTTGGTGGTCCATCCTTTGGCTCTGCACTCTGTTTCTCGGAAATGTCAGTTTCTTGAATGTCCCGTTCACTCTTTCCACCATTCCCAGTGAATGTAACATAACCGCTTGTTTGATGGGTAACTGCTGCACCACCCGGTGTTGGCGCTGTAGTTTTGACACGGCGGTGGAAAAAGCTAACAGGTTAAGGTGTTAAACACAGCATAACAGCATTAGGCGTTGGCGTAGTAATTCCCAATTTTCTATGTCAATAAACTATTTAGCTTATGCATTAGATCCTTTCCCAACAGATTGCTGAAGTGTAGCCCTGTGGCCTTTTTTTATTTTCATTCACACATTAAAATGTTTATGTTGTTAATAAATAACAGTTCATGAAGGTAAATATTTTTAAAATGTGTTGGATTATAATATGTTAAAAACAGTCATTGTGTACAGTTAAGTCAGAGGAAAAAAGAGTGATGTTAGTTCTAAAAATCATTCAGGGTTGTCTCAAATCCAGAATACTACTTATGTTTGCGGGGCAGTGAAGCATCTTTTATTCTCTCATCTCTGTTGGTATGTCTGTGGTCCTTAGCCAATCCTGTCCTCACCTTGTTCAGGGAGGCGGTGCTTAGCGTCACCTACGTGCCGCATGCAGGTTAGCGACAGCCTGTCTGCTTTATCGGCGTCCGAGCGGGATAGCTGTAAAATAGTAAAACTAATAACACTCATAACTCCCAAGACTGACGGAGAGTCGTCCTGCGGTTGGTGTGTGTGAACTCTGAAAAGTTGCCAGAGGACCGGACATTTGCCATAGGAGGGAGAGAGAGTGAGGACCGGGAGAGCCCTGGACCATTGGAGAGAGACTATAGCTGCTGTATTTGAGCGGTGGTTAACCGCACCGTGTTGCTGCATGCGCCATTCACTTGCCGCCGAAACTGCCCTTGTTTTTGCCCTTAACCCCATCTCCATCCCTGACTGTTGCGGACTCGTGAGTACACTGAACACTTTGCACGTGCGTTTTCTTTATGCTGGTTAACCCAGTGAAGTGGCCATTTGTTTTCGGCCTCCACGCTCCCAAGCATCGACTGGGCCTACCACGTGTTTTATTTACATTTAATAGCCCTGTGTGAATGTGTGTGTGAGTGTGGGCTGTGGACATTTGAGTTTTCTTGGTCATTGTGATATTACTTTTCTGTTTGGGTCCATCAGGGGTCATTTGTGGGTTAAGCTTGTCGAGTATTGAGTATTGAAAATGCCTCAATGTTATCAATGCCTACTTAAAGGTCAACAGTGAACGGGTTAAATAATTTTATGACTAATTTGACACTTTGAATAAACAAGCTCTGTTGTTTCAAATAAATCCTGTGTGGCAATTATAAAGGTGATACTTTTTGGACAAATATAAACAGGTTAAAGTGGACTTATTTTAAAAGGGAAGTGCCTAATTTTGAGTTACTTCCTAAAAGTTATTGGAGGCACCGCCAAGTTATTTTACATCCCTATTACAGTCATCACAGGTATAGCGCCATCTTCAGACGAACTCAGGCCCCGTCCCATTGTACTACAACACCCCAATTATCTGTCAGTAAATATAGCTACCTGGGACTGGGGTTACATAAATGGGATACCGCTGGGATAATTTCACTGTATGGCCAATTAAATTTAAGTGCGCAAGATCAAAACTCATACTAATATGGCTCACTCACTCAACCCCCAGTTGCTAGCTGAGCTACTGAAATGGTGTGAAGATGTAGGAGTAAATCCAGCCTATGCTTTGATACTGAGTAATGTACCTACAGAGGCAGTTGTAGCTGATATAACTGAGTCAGGGCTGTAAACTAACGGTCGCCACTCGCCAAATGCGACTAAAATATTCCCCTGGCGACTTAATTTTGGAGGGATACACGCCACTGGGGCGGGTAAATGTTTGTCCCGAATGGTCGTGCTCTTGCAATAAATTGATTTGTTGTGTGTCACACTGAAGTCTCTCCCCCGACGTCACCGCTGTAGAAAATAGTTCCCCCGAAGCAACGTAGCTGTGCGCGTTACCGCTCTTTAAAACTTTGGCGGCGCAGTGAGTGAGACTCGAGCGCAGCAATGTGGCGGCATATCCCCGGTGTGACCGAACCAAAGAGGAAAAATACAGAGGAGATAGGTGACAAAGAAGGCGAAACGTCGACGAAAAAAGCAAAAGTGAGAAAGTTCAGTGAGAAGTGGAAGACTGACAGGGAATGGCTTCAGTACGACGACTCGACGGGTGTCATGTTTTGCTCCGTCTGCCGGACACACGCCA